AGTGACACCTAGTGTTTCAAATTGGAACAACACAGAAAAATAAGATTTCAACAGAGTCTGATAAGATCTTAATTTCAAGTAATAGTTTTGATCAGAGCCTTTAGAGTAAAGTAAAGGTTGATAAAGCCATGTCTTAAGCTTAAGCCTCACATTTCAGAAGAAAAAATAAATAAAACTTCTAAAGGACATAATTTCTTTTAGAACTTTAACAGATGCTGCATCGCTGACACAGCAATGCATTTTGTGTTTTATACTTCTTGCATGTGCTTGTTTTATTCATTAATCATAACTCTATTCCAATAATTATGTTTTTAGAGACTTTTTAGAGATTTTCTTTTCTAAAACAGTCAAATCACTTAAGATTTATCCAATAATATAATAATAATAGTAATAATAATAACCTGCATCGATCCAACTATACCCTCTAAATACAGCCTGGTGTAATGTGCTCTGGGATTATATAATAAACAATGGGTTTGATAATCTAAATGATTATAAATTATATTCTTACAAATATTGTTATAGGGCAACAACTTTAGTAATTGATTGATACATTGGATACATTGGGCGCTAGTTTGTCTTGTTTATTTAATAGGTCAGCTGTTTATTTGTTTAATTATTCACTTGGATTTAGTAAAAACATGTAAAATAATAACTTTGTACAGTACCAGAAAGTGACATTTTTACTAAAGAACAACATTTGAAATGCAACTTTTAATCTAAAAAGATACTTTTGGCAAACTGACATAAATAAATAAAAAAAATGGAATATAGAAAATAAATTCATGAAGCATTTTAAATGAATAGCAAGTGGCAAAATGTAACACATATGTCATAAAGAAACAATGTGTTCTTGAATTGTAAAAATTGTATTTTATTTGTAGGAAAAAGAATCAATTGTAGTTTTTATTTCTAGAGTTTTAGTCCTACATCTTTTAACAATTGAATCTGTTTTTGTATTATTTAGTTTAATTATCTGGTCGCGAATGGGGTCACGACCGCACCTTTAGGAATCAGTGATTTAATTCAAGAGATGTTGGAAAAGTCACGAAGGATGTCCGGGGATGAGATGTTTCAAAGTGCTCCACCTCACCTCATGGCCACGTTGCTGCCGTCCACCACGATCGGCCGCAGGTTGTCCTGGTCGCAGAGAGATTCTGAGGGTAACGGCGAGTCCGACCTCTCCGGCACATCGGAGCAGCCGCAAGACGACGATGATGAAGATGATGAGGTAGAGGTCAAGGCTGCCGCTGGCTGCTCGCCGTCCGACTTGGTGCCCAGTTTGACCAGTTCGCCCAGTATGTCGTTGATGAGGGTGTCGGGCCCCAGCTTGGACAGCACCTGACGCACGGTCACCTCAGAGTAGCCCAGTTTTAAGGCAAACTCCAGCTTGGTCTGGTAGTCCTTCCCTCCCGGCGTGGGCTCTGGTTCTGGTTCTGGTTCTGATGCCGTGGGGTCGGCTGGGGGTTCGGGCGATTCATGCTCGGGTTCTCCTGAGAGATCAGACGGAGACTCCGGAGGTCCTTCTGTCCCCAAATCCACACACGGCGTGCGGCACAGCGGCTGGTGGCTGTTTTTGCTGAAGGTGTGCGTGACCTCCCCTCCGTCTGCATCTTCCACAGGCGTCGGCCTCCCCTCTCCATCACGCTCGCCGCTCTCCTCTGGCGTTGTCGCCGGAGGAGAACCAAGCGTAGCCTTTTTGGTGAAGCTCTCCCCCTGCTCATCCATAGCAGGGGGTTCGTCGACGCCGCCAGCCTGCCGGTCGGCCCCGGCTACGTGGAGATACTCCAGGTCCGGCCCCAGATCCAGGATGTGGCCCGTTCCCGCCTCCACATGGTCCTTCTGGCCCATGGATCCGTCAAAGACATCCAGCACACCGGGCGGAGCAGCGCTCTTTCACAAAGCTCCACTCATCTGAGCCTGAAGGAGGAGACGGAGAGAAGCTCATCAGCTAAAGTCACATTTAGGGCTTTGAATGTCATTGTTCTGCATCCTGAGCTGACAGAGTAAGTGGGTAAATCCCTGCTTGAACTTCTATGAGGCTCTGGGTGACATCTGTCACAGAAGCTGCCTTTACGTCGCTTTTGTTCACCATAAATTACTCTCGTTTTTCCATTCCAGTAAATATATGATGTAATTCACTATGGCTCTGACTGACTGCATTGGCGCGAAACCTCCCCCCCACCACCACCACCTACTCTCCTAACAGACACAAAGAACCACGGGGGCCTCTAACTCTGATTAATGGACTCCCCCACCCAAACAGAAGCTGACCTCAGTGTGTTTTAAAAAGCACCACGCCACGGCGCATCAATCTACAGAGGAACCGTTGATATAAAACAAGACATCCAGCCGTTATCACCCCCCCCACACACACACACACACTTGATTTAACCCAATATAACCTATTATTAACCGTATGCTCCCTCGCACACTAAGGTGATCTGATATCATGTGGGGGGGTTATCCTGTTACAGCTCTGCAGCAATTTGATTAAAGTAACGGTAAAACTGTTTGATGGGTTCGTGGTAAAAAATCTTTACGGAACGTTTTGCTTTTCAGTTGTTAATAGAAAAAAATAACAACAGATTAATTCTCAAAATGATTTATTAGTTGCAGTATACGACCACAGGGTTTCATATGTACAGTGTGAGTTCAGAGCTCATGATGCACGTGAGGCCCGACGCTCTGATCCGATCCACCTGCTCACACTGCACGTCTAAAAACCACATCGGGCTCAGCCCCAGAGAGAGATGGCACTACAGGGACTCATCTATTCGGAAACCAAACCAGTAGAAAATGAGTATAAAGCTCACTAGAGTGAAATGAGCTGCCTTGGCAATTTTGGAGTGAAAGTCTTTTAAAGAAAAAGGCGACGACACATTTGGACAAAGACAGAAGAAAAGAAATTTTACAGAAAGAATTCCATTTCACCCGCACCCCGCCATGCTGCTGTGTTTTCATCTGACAGGAAGAAGAAGAGTCCTTGTTTGGCATGCCAACCTGAGCCATTTGCACACGACGGTCGACTGAAAAATAAACGTGTTTGATTTTATCCCGACCTCACTATTCCTGATCAGGAGGTGGTCGTGAGAGGCTGATCGCCCCTCGTTACCCCCTGAACACTACACGAAGCACGATCAGGCTTGCACGACTTTCACAACTGAAAAGTCTGCCCAAAAATGGCACAAAAATCGCAGTGTAAGCCCGCCTTAAATGTTCTGAGCTCTGATTGGTGCATCTTAACACTCTGATTGGTGCAGTAACGTTTTTTTTTTACGCAGTAGTGGCTCGTTTTTATGGACAGTAGGTTGACAGGAAAGAGGGTATGAGAGGGGGAGAGACACACAGGAAAGGACCACAGGCCGGATTCAAACCTGAGTCACCTGCGTCGAGTCCTTGATACATTGATCATGTGCGCTAACCGCTGCCCCACCAGAGCACGCCCCATCGTAACAACGTTCTGAGCTCTGATTGGTGTGTTCATGTTCTGACCTGTGATTTGTGCATCTTAACAACATTCTGAGCTCTGATTGGTGCGTCTTAACATTCTGAGCTCTGATTGGTGCGTCTTAACATTCTGAGCTCTGATTGGTGCGTCTTCATGTTCTGACCTGTGATTGGTGCATCTTAAAAACATTCTGAGCTCTGATTGGTGCGTCTTAACAACATTCTGAGCTCTGATTGGTG